GTTGGCCTCAAACAAAAGTATTGTGGATAAAGTTTATCTTAGAAGTCTACTCTCCTTGTTGTAATCTTCTTAGTTACAACTCCTAGCTGTCTAGTTCAGCTGCCCCAGTAGAGGGTCCAGCATTACCTCTACCATCCTTTCCACCCCTGCCCCCCACCTCTCTTAAGACCCATCAGAAGCTTTGGTCTACTGTGAGTCAGATACTAGAGTTTAATCCTTCTTTTGCCTCTAACACCAGCTATGAATGTTGGGAAAACCATTCCATATTCCTACCCTCGGTTTCTTTGTCTGAAAAAAATGTGGTGATTATGTTCATTAAAGGCACCTTTACCTCTAAAAATATAAGTTCCTCTATAGCAACTGAGAATAAAGAGTGAAAACAAGATTTGTGACTTATGATATTCATTTATAATATCAGAATGAAAGGAATTTCTGAGGTAAGGTTAGCTGGAAGGTTTGTGTTTCCACCAGACAGTTATTTTTAAAAGATACTTAGATCATGGAAACATTTTTCAGATTAAATGAACTGATGACATTATGTCCATTAGAACAACAGTAACTATTGTATTAGGAGATATAATTGGTTTATAAAGGAATCTTTAGTCTGCCCACTTTTTTTTCCATACCCTAGGTGTAAATCCAAAGTGAAATGTATGTGGCAGAAGAGAAAACCATTGAGTATAGTTTAGTGGCTCTTGTTATTAAAGCCAAGTATTTACAAGTGAAAGGAATGAGGTCCATGGCACTAGTAATGGGATTTAAATGGATTTAGGAACTAAGGCTGAAATAGGAGCCTAATTAGAGAAGATCCTGGGGTCATCATGTCAGTCCTCACCTGTCCGTTAGGCAGACAGGCTGTCCACAGCTTTCACTTCAAAGATGGGGCATGTTCTTCTCATCAGTGTTTCCCGCCTGCCAGTTCTTGAGCGAGAAGATGCCTTGGCTGCCATTCACAAGTCATGTGTCTCCAGCAGTGCATTTAGTGGGGGTGCAGAGAGTCAGCTTACATCTGGTCCCAAAAAAGGACAACCCGAAACTCAGAATATGAAATGTGATGATTTTCTTAAAGGGAGGTGTGAAAAATAAATCATAATTGATAGGTCATTTTTGCTAGCATTTTCCTGATTATAACTGCCCTTTTAAAAATAAGAAGAAAGGGGCGCCTGGGTGGCTCAGTGGGTTGGGCCGCTGCCTTCGGCTCGGGTCATGATCTCGGGGTCCTGGGATCAAGTCCCGCGTCGGGCTCTCTGCTCGGCGGGGAGCCTGCTTCCCTCTCTCTCTCTCTCTCTCTCTCTCTCTCTGCCTGCCTCTCTGTCTACTTGTGATCTCTCTCTGTCAAATAAATAAATTAAAAAAAAATAAGAAGAAAGGACCTCAATAGGGAATAAAGTGACTGTTTTCCATTGATGCAAGAGCTACACTTACAATGGATCTTTTGTTCCTATTCTTTTTTTTTTTTTTTGTACCTATTCTTGAAATCTAAGTGATAAGTGATTAAACATTTGTTAAGAGGGACTGCTGTTCCTTTTCTCTTTCTAGTTCACTTTGGGATTTTTTACAGGAAAAATCGATGTCTTTATCTTACTTTGGTTTCTCACATGGAGTTTGTTAATTATGGAAGCTTGGACCCTGGAGTAGGTGGCATCTGAAGCTAAATGAGGAAAGATGAGACTAGAGTAGTCATTGAGGTCCACTGATGTCCTTGGGAGAGGGTCTGTGTTTGTCCATACATATACCATAGTGAGTGTTCCTGCAATTTGGCCAATTGAGATATTTGAGGACATAGAGCTTTATGGCTTATTCTCTTTTCTTCTGATGTCTCCCTTTGCTCCTGCTGGTCTAGCTGTTTCTGGGTGAAGGCTATTGCTAGATGTGGGAGTCCAAGCTGGTGGGATAAGGAAGGACATGGAGCACACATGGCCCTTGTGTGAAAATCTAATGTTGTGGGAAGATTCTGCAGTATGGCTGTAGAATTTGTATTCTTTCCCTTTGGAATCTATACCAACAATATTCCCCATCACTTAGTTAATTACTTGACTTGAGGCTTCAATGCTCAGAGGCGATTCCATTGGCTTTAGCTTTAATTAAGAAAAAAAATCGTTAGGAGAGCAGAGTCTCCCTTCCAGTTTCTCATTAATTTACAGATGAATTTGTTTGGTGCTAACTGTCTATTGACAGTTTGCTCCAGACTTTGGCTAAATGTTAGTTTGAGGCTTCTATAAAAGTAATCTGGATTTTTAAATTACCATCACAGGATTTTTGTTTTATTTATTTTAATTGACGGGACTTCTCAGTGTTCATTTCATAAAACATGGAATTTGTCCCATCAGGAATCAAACATGAGAGCATTTGTATGATGACCCAGCAATCTCAAAAATTTGAAATTTGAGGAGATGGGTGACACTTTTTTCTTCAACTACCATATGCAATTTCTGTGCTTTTAAATGCACAGTATCAGACAAAACTTCTTTCATAGTATCAACTCTTAAAAACTTCTCGAGAGGGGTGCCTGGGTGGCTCAGTGGGTTAAAGCCTCTGCTTTCGGCTCAGGTCATGATCCCAGGGTCCTGGGATCGAGCCCCACATCGGGCTCTCTGCTCAGCAGGGAGCCTGCTTCCCTTCCTCTCTCTCTGCCTGCTTCTCTGCCTACTTGTGATCTCTGTCTGTCAAATAAATAAATAAAATCTTTAAAAAAAAACAAAAACAAAAACAAAAAAAACTTCTCAAGATATGTGAACAGAGTTTTACATAGTTTTAGTGTCTTGAATGAGGAGAAATTCATAAATTTGGGTCTGAAGACTGATGTTTGCAATTATGTTGCAAACAGATGTCATGAGTACATGAGACAAGTGAGACAAAGCACTTTCATATTTACATATCACGGTGGATGCCAATGTTCTTGGTAAGGTGGGAGTGTCCTGGGGTGCACGTGCTACCATAGAACATAGTGTGGTCCAGAATATGCACTCTGCACCTGAGCTTTTTGTGGCATTTAGTTGACCCTTCCATGCTCCATTTATGGTAGTTTGGTGGCTTGTATGTGCATAGCTACACTTTAAGGAACATTACAGAGCTATGACCTTACAAATGAATGGCACATCTACAGTGTCAAACACATGTGTGGAGATGGTAGGAGGCAGTGGATCCTGAGGTTGGCACGTATTGACTTAACCTGACAGCATGAGTCAGGCTTTACAAAGCCAGTGTGTTCATATGTTACAGGCTGAGCTTGCTTTTAATTACAACCCAATGTATGATTGTCTGAATCAAGTACTGGGGAGTTGCTAAGCATCTCCTTGGAATGCTAGTGTCCATAACCTCTACTGTGGCCCAAGGTCCCAAGTTCACTTGGCCTGGCATCCCTCACCAAATGGCCTGGGGGCTAAATAATTATTTTGGTGAAGGAAGTGAGCCTTTAGTTCCTTAAGTTTATGGTCACTTTATTCCTTTGTGGTGTCCTCTACCTGATGGTTTGTTGTAATAATTCTGTATATTTCATTAGAGTATTCCCAGTTAATTCTCAGAGTAAAGTCTTAACACCTTAGTTTGGTTTTCAAGCTCTGTATCTTTCCAAAGCTATTGCTCCCAACATTGAACCCAAGCAGAACTTATTCCAATTTGACTTCTTTCTACCCCTTCTTTGTGCTTTCTTTTCATCTAAAATGCCTTCCCTTATATCTCTTCATGTCTAATATTTTTGATAAAGACCTTAGAAGTGGTTATTGTTTTTGGTCCAGAAAATATGTAATATATAAAATACACACACAGATATGTACACACATATAAATATGTACATAAAATATATATCATGGTATATATATTATATATACAATATAAACTATATTCATACAACACTGCCTGTATCAAAGGAATAGTCAACATCAGGGGAAGATTTTTACCATTACATTGAGTGGAAAGGAAAATTGAAAAATATTGTGATTCTTTTTTTTCCTTGAGGAGAGAAATATATAGGGAAAATTTTCTGAAATGATCTAGGTAAATAGAAATGTTGAACTGATGGGACCAGAGATAGGTTTATTTTGTTTTTTGGTATTTCACATGTAGACAGTAAATCTGTTTAACTTTTGTAATAAGACACGCATTAGTAAAACTTATCTGTGAAGCATAGGATACCTTATCCCATCCTTACATAAAATTTTGGAATAGCTGAACTCCCAACTATGCCTTGTGGGTCTCCCAATTACTCTTATATCCGGGTACTTAAAAGAATGTGTCCTCAAAGTGAGTGGTGCTAACACTCAAGGCAGTGCTAACATTCAGCACGGTATGTATTTGATGCTGCTTTCTGTGGGGCTCTGGACCTTTGTTTTAGACATCCTCAGATGACCCATCCACTCACGTTTGCAGTGATAAACCTGACTTCCATGGGGTGGGTCACACCCGACATATTCACTAATGAAAGAGAAGTTGAGATTGACTACTTCCTAAAGACCTCAGTGACATTTTTTGAATATCTTTGTGAATAGAAAAAGGGTGTCTAGTTCTGCTTTGTCATAGTTGTGAGTGACATGTGCTCAGAGAAATTTGACTCTTGTTTCCAGTGAAGGTGTCATGTAAGGGGAAGACCCCTCTATTTACTCTGCCTCTCAAGTCTTCATATCCTGCTTTGGGGTTTGTTGCTATATCCACGTATGCTTCTTCTGAAACAAAGAGAGTATATTGGATAATCACTGATAATTTTTTTTAAATGTGGACTAGGCCATTTTCCTTGAAACTTCTTTCCTAATTTGGCATGAAGTACAATTAGATAGTAGAAATGAAGGAATTTTTTTGGTGATCTCAAAATAAGAAGGGGAATTGTTTGGTCACACAGCAGACTAGGAGAGGGCCAAGGAATGAATTGAAGGAAATTATCAAGCATGCATGTTGTTTTTAAGTGATACTTGAGACTGGGATGTGAAACAGCTGTGTTGTTGGTTTTTCTTTTTTTTTTTTCCTCATGCCAACTTTCCTTATTTGATTGATTTTCTCTCTGACAGCCCACTGTGCTGATAAATGTGTCCACGGTCGCTGCATTGCTCCAAACACCTGTCAGTGTGAGCCTGGCTGGGGTGGGACCAACTGCTCCAGTGGTAAGTTTCCACCTGCTCTTGTCTGTCTTGGCGTGTTTTTGCTGTATGGGCTCCCTTGTCTGCCGATTATCCTGAACCACTGGTTTCCCTCTTGTTCCCTGTACAGAATATGGTGTGGGTTCCCAGTCCGGCTCAGGAATACAGTTTCTATTAAATCAGTATATGTGTTATACTGATATAACAGTATATGTTGTTAATTGAGGATAAAGAAAAGTAGTTGGAAAGAAGGAGATTTTAATAATCTGATGCTGATACATCTGTAAATATGAATATGTTTTCCAGAGTAGGGTCCAGACTTGAGGTTCTTTAGTTCAGTAAAGCAGTTTTGTGGTTACATAACTATTCCATCCTAACTGCTATGTTTATATGTTGATTTATCTAGCATTCTTCCTTGGTGATTAAAAATGTATCACCTGTTGGCTTTAAGTCAGAAGTAAAATTGATATGGTCAATGCTTAGTATATTTATTTCCCTCTGAATTCTGAGATGCAAATAATGATACTCAGAAAACATGGAGGACAAATATTGGTAATAACTGAAAATTCATGAACATTTTGATATTAAATCAAATTGTAATATGGTATATAATTTGTATATATATGGTATATAATTATAATTCTAGTATAATATTTTGGACTGTAAACAGTTTGCACTTAAAACCTCATATTCTTTATTAAGAGGATTAAGCAGTGGAATGTCATGTAATACAGTTGCTTTTCTGAATTTCACAGTTAAAACTTTAGTTTTCTGCCTAACTCGTTGCTGCACGTGTAATTGTGGATACTTCCTGTTTCTTCGTACTGCTTTTTGCTTTGAAAAATGTGAGGGGGAGTCCGAGTGCAACTGAATTTTAATGCATGAAATGTTACAGTGAGAGAAAGGAAATCAGCAGGATCTCATGACAACACAAACTCATCCCCATTTCTACTGCACAATTTTCCACAACTAGTCCAAAAGGATTTCAAGCTAACTAGATAAACTGGCTTTAAGAATTTTTTCTTGCTTATATTTGGAATCAGGTAGATTACTGTGTATCTTGTAAGAACTGCTTGTTTTAGGCTTGTGATCTCTTGGCTGTCCCACAAACAGCATCTCCAGGGGTAGTCCTTGTGCTGCCTGTGCACAGAACGTTCTGTGTGAAAGAGCCTTTTTATTGTGTCTTAAACAGGGAGTGTGTGTGTGTGTCTGTGTGTGTGTGTGTGTGTGTGTGTGTGTGTCTTTCTGCCCCTGAAAGGCTTCCAATTCCAATGGATAACTGTCTTGCAGGGTTTTGTTTTGCTTCTGCTGGAGATCAGGAGGAGAGTGGGCATTTTGTTCACAGGCCGTGGAGGCAAAATGTTTGGGATGTGGGATTTGGCTCATAGCCATTTTTCTGGCCGGCTGACCTCAAATGCAATGTCGCTTTCATTAACTTTTCCAGCTTAAAAATCAGTTGTGCCTACACATTTTGAAGAAAAATAACATTATTGTAAAAACTAGCAGGAATGAAAGGAGTGGATGTATTCTTCATTTGAGAAGTGAGGTTTGTTCCTAATGCCAGGGCACGTAAGCTGTGGGATAGAATGGTTGTAGCCGCATTTAGAGTTCGTGTCCTAAGGAGCCCGCAGCCGCCTACAGCTGAGAAATCAGACTGCTGAGTGCTTATGTGCAGAAAACAAAATGCTACATCAATTTCAGGCTGTCCAGAACTGATTCAGGCCTTCTAGAAAACAAACTATTGCTTTCTTTTGGAGTTTGGGCTTTCTAGAAAATAACTTGTTGCTTGCTTTTAGAGTGTACTGATTTTTGAATGAAGCCTCTAGAATTCTGAAGACACATGTTCTTTCCATCCTAGAATACAATACTGATGCAGTGTTTAATCTCTTCTTTACAACTTTGGGCTCTGTAATGACCCAAAGCGTAAGTAAACACAGGCTGATAACTGAGGTCTTTCAAGATGCTCTGAGAAAAACATTTCTGACACTTTGTTCCAACACCTAAGCAAATGCTCTTCTGAGCTGGAACACTGGATAAGGTTACCTGGGCCTTGTCTGCTGTGGTTCCTCTAATACCACTTATTAGAAGGTGTGCCATTTAATTACTCTAAGCCAAGTAGTTCTTGAAACAAAAAGTATACTTGAATAATCTACTAGGTAGCACAGTTTAAATGACCTCATTTTGGGGCGCCCGGATGGCTAAGTCAGTCAAGCATCTGATTCTTGATTTCGACTCAGGTCCTGGGATCGAGCCCCTTCGGACTCTGTGCTCAGCAGGGAGTCTGCTTGAAATTCTCTCTTCCTGTCCCTCTGCCCCTCCCCCCACTCATGCAAGCACATGGGCTCTCTCTCTCTCTCTCTAAAATAAATCTTAAAAAAAAAATGACCTCATTTTCAAGGATTCCTTTTCTCTGTTCCCTCCTTCTCTGATTATGGTTATGAAGACATTGGATGCTGTTTGTTAGGTCCGTAGAATGATTGACTTGATAATCAGACTAGGTACTTGCATCAGTCAGGGTCCCATCAGGAGAGAAAAACCACAATAAATTTTCTTCAATCAAACTTTTATTTTGGAACAATTTTAGATTTATAGAAAAGTGGCAAAGATAGCAGAGAGTTATCCTATACCTGCATCCAGTTTTCCCCTTGTTAACACCTTATCATTAGTTTGTCAAATTGAGAAACCGACATTAGTACATTACTATTAATTAAACTTCAGACCTTGGATTTCATTGTTTTTTTTCCATTAACATCCCTTATCTGTTCCAGGATCCAATCCAGGGCACCATGTTGCATTTCATTGTCATGTTTGCCCAGTCTCCTATGGTCTATGACATTTTCCATCTTTGGCTTTTCCTGATCTTGACAATCTTGAGGAGTGCTGGCCAAGTATCCTGTTGAATGTCCCCTGATCTCTGTTTGTCTAGTGTTTTTTCTTATCATTAGACTAGGGCTATGGGTTTTGAAAATAATACTGTCGAGCTGGAATACTCTGCTCTTCACATCATATCGGGGTATCATAATGTTCATGTGACATCACTGATGATGTCATCACTTGGTTAATCTTCATGGTTAGCTGATGTATAGTGTACACCATGTTTCACCACAAAAATTACTGTTTTCCTTTTCCTAGTCTATGCTTTGGAAGCAAGTCTATGTCTAGCCTACCCTCAAGGGTGAAGGGCAGGAATTACGTTCATGTCTTTGAGGGGGAGTCCTTACATATGTTATTTGGAATTCTTCTGTAAGGAAGATTCATCTTACTCCCATTTATTCAACCTTTGTGTCAGTTTGGACTCAGAGATATTTATATGAAATTTTGGGTTATAGGCCAATATATGTGATTTTGTTGTTCAGATTGTTTCTGCTTTGGAGATTGGGAGTTATTTCAGGTCACCCCTGTGTCCTTTTGATGTGCCCCCATCCTTTTTTGGTCTGTTTTTTGTTTATTTGTTTTGTTTAGTGAGCGCTTCCTTCCTTACTGGTACTATAGGATACTCCAAGGCCGTGGTGTGTTTTTCTGCCTCAGCCTTAGACTTCCATTGGAGAATGGCATTTAGAAAGGAGAATCTTGCCAGGTATGCTCATTGCTCCTGGGACGCACAGTAACTTGGACAGGGAAAGTTGATGAACAATTATTAACTGTACCAGGGGACTGGAGTAATGAAGAACTGTTTAGTAGAATTCATAACACTTGAAAGGACACAGGAAGAGCAGATTTAAGGAGCAGCCACTACTTCCAGGGCTGAGATAGGATACCCAAAAGGAATCTCCACTAAGGCTATGATTCATTAGGGAAGGCACACCACAGCTCACTGAATAGTGAGAGGCTGCATAATACTACTCTAGCAGAACTTGATGGACATCTGCTCTCTGGAACTTGCTAGAATTCTGCCCTATAAGGTGTTTGGGAAAGATTTTCATGGAGGAGTGTCTGATCAGAAGCTCTCTGCTACAGAAAAGCCCCAGAAGGTTGCCAGGGGAAGCTGCTGACTGATGGGTGCTGCTGGCTTTCCTGTTGATGGAGAAGCTGGGTGCTGGGAAGCTGCCCATGCTATGGGAGCCTGGAATAAGCTGGGATGGAGAAGCTGGTTCTGTTGCAGGAACTGGGCACCATGCAAGATGGTGGTGCTCCGTGGCCAGATGCTGGAAAAACTTGTGTGGCAGGAGCTGGGGCTAGAGAGGCCCTCTGCTCTGCACCAGTCTCTTGAGCTAGCACTGGAACCACCGTGGAAGACCGTGCTGCAACTTTGTTGTCTGTTGACTGTTGACTTCCGGCCATGGAAGTACTTTTTAGAAACCCACGGAGTCTCTTGGCTTTCAGACATAGTTCTCTTTTTTCCTGTCTTGTAGTAACAGCCCAGTTTCTGCCTGATAATTAGGACCATTCACTCCAGCCAGAAGAGTAACTCTTTTTATTTACATTAAGAGCCTAAAATAAGCAGATGGTAATAAATCGATGATGGTCGCACACAACTATCTCTCTGGGGTTTTTTTCTTTCCTAATATACATGGGAGAAAAATGGGCTAACAGGTACTTTCACGTGTACAGGGTTACAAAGACTTCCCTTGGAGATTTGATCTGACTGTTTACCTTGTCTGTGGAGGAAGGAATCCTGTGTTTGATATACAGTCTTCCTGGGTCTCAGTGTAGTCTCTGTATAAAAAAACCAGGTGTGTCAGAGGACTGTACAAAGTTTGTTCCCTGGAGTGAAATCGTGATTTATTTTACTAAACTCAGATGTATTGCTTCTTTTTAAATTTGATTAAATGATTTAAAAAAAACCACACACTCGTATTTTACTTTTATTGGCAGCCTAATGCATACCCTAGCCTATATGCCATTAATCTAGCCTACCTCCATCTCTCTCTACCCTCCTCTTCCCTGCTGTCTTTCTTTCTCCCCCCATCAATCTCTCCGTCCCTCCATCAATCCCCTATTCCTCTTCCTCCTTCAGGGGATGATAAACCACTCATAGAAGGCAAGCACTGTGTGTTATTAATCTCGTTAGCCACCATTGTGGC